CAAAGAAGCAATTTATGAATTAAATGATACAACTTCAAAAGTCGTTGCATTGGCCAGGAAATGAACACGGGCCTCACGCGGCAGGCGAGAGTTCTACCACTGAACCATAGAGCTGCATCTAAAACTGGACAGCGCCACAAGGATGCAGTGGCCAAAAATATATTACATCTGTAGTGGTTTAGTACTGCTATAGGAAATGAATGGGAAACAGTTCTCGGGCATACGGAGTATACACACTAGAAGAGGTTAAGAATTCAGTACACTCACTTAAAAATGCCCAGTAATACATGACATATGATTAGACACGTGTCACTGATACGTGCAACGGCAGTTAAACGCTTTCGTAACAATCTATTGGTATGCAGTGCTTGTTTATTACATTCGTTTATCCAGCGAATTATTGTATAATTAATGCTTACCACTTAATAAAAAAATAGTTTTACATTTTTTTACTACTTAATGCTTGAACATGTTTTGCTTTGATACTGTTTTCTAAATTCTATAACACGTTTTTAATACAAAGCCAACTGTTGCACAAAGTTTGTTGTTCATTTATTGAAATAAATGTTCATTATGCTTAAAAAGATCAAAATAAATTAACGATTACATTGTGCTAACCAGTGTACTTTGGTTTCTAAGCACAGTATACGGACCGACCGCAGTAAAGTTAGTTTTAAGTTGGACATTCGCACTCTGTGGCTTCACCGGTGTCCAACGTAAAACTAACTTTACCGCGGTATACCCACTACAAAAATGTAGACTACACCACTGCATACATTCATACTGGTTTCCCTGGTGTGGCAGGAAAAAATATATATACAGTAATCTCTCGTTTATCGCAGATGTTTGGGACCGTGCCCATCCGAGATGAGTGAAAAACCGCGAAGTAGGGATACAGTAGTCCAAGTTCAGTAAACTTTGTCTTGACTAGGATTTATGTACCAGGTCTGAGTACATTGTGCTATCAGAACCAGTTTTTTGTTTTTGTTTTGTTTTCAGCTTTTATTTATTCAGGTTAATCCCACTGAGCCTCGGGGACTCATTTACAAGAGAGACCTGGTTTTAACAAAGAGTGACAACAGTAGACAATCATAAAGGAAGCATACAAATTTAGAAGAACAAGTGAAAGATAATGGTTTTAAAAAATAAAACAGCTAGGTTGTAAGGCGGTGTAGAGAACTAAAAACAGGAACATGTCTGCGTTGATGTTTTCCAGGAATTTAACAGATGTTTGACTCACTTAGAAAGGTCAAGGTCTTCAGATCTTTTTGCAAGATATTCAAGGAAACAGGAGCGGAGTTAAGAGCAATGCTGCTCAATCTTGTTCTCAGCTCCTCGTTAGTATAGTGGTGAGTATCCCCGCCTGTCACGCGGGAGACCGGGGTTCAATTCCCCGACGGGGAGTGAGTTCAAACTTTTTTTTTTTTTCCCCCACAGCTGTTGTTGAAATCTAACCCACATAATATACAGCGCTTCAGTAGCTGGTTGCTCATTTACCAAAGAAGCAATTTATGAATTAAATGATACAACTTCAAAAGTCGTTGCATTGGCCAGGAAGTGAACACGGGCCTCACGCGGCAGGCGAGAGTTCTACCACTGAACCAATGAGCTGCATCTAAAACTGGACAGCGCCACAAGGACGCAGTGGTCAAAAATATATTACATCTGTAGTGGTTTAGTACTGCTATAGGAAATGAATGGTTCAGTGTTTTAACTACAGCAGCATTGGTGGTTCAGTGGTAGAATTCTCGCCTGCCACGCGGGAGGCCCGGGTTCGATTCCCGGCCAATGCAACAAGTCTTTTTATGTTTTTATTTTTCCCACTCCATTTTTAGGCGAAGCCTTAAAACTAGGAGCCTCGTGCTTCAGCGGGCAGGTCCAGTTTCAAGATCTTGTCTCGCTGCTTGTGTTTCTCATGACCTGAACAGAAACGTGCGGGTCGTGAACGTGTCGGTGTCCTGATGGACGCTTGTTATTTAGAGGGCTGAGTGATGCTCACAATAACAGCACGTGCTTTTTCCCCCACCAGTAACTTCAGTGATTTTCAGTCTCGTGAATGTTCAGGCTCGAGTCATGGCTGGAGAAGTAAAAGTAAAACTGTAATACAGAGTTTGTCCAGGAGATGGTGCTACTCTCCTGCAGCTCCATATTTACAAAGTGTGGCGCTTGACATTCATTTTTACTCTCCTTGTTTTAAAATATACTTTTTAAAAGTATTTTTAAGGATATTTCTAGTCTTTTAATAGTTTTCTGTATCATAATTTTTGGCTAAAGTTACCAAACTTCAGGTTTCCTCCTGTTAGGACCAACAGAACATTTCAGTCTCTTTTACGAACGCAGATATGGACAACTGGTTGTTTTTGAGATCTTTGTTCTTCTTGGTTTAAAGGTTTTTTCATATTTTATATCATGTAATCCTGCAGTGCATCACAGTGGAGCAGTGGTTGGAGCTGTTGCACAGGTTCTGTGTTCAGTTTGCATGTTCTCTACAGTACGTGCATGTGTGGGTTTTCTCCAGGTTCCCCCCACAAACTAAACACATGCGTGTTGGTTAATTGGTAACTCTAAATTGTCCCTAGGTGTGAGTGAGAGAGGGAATGTTTGTCTCTTTTGTCCCGATGTGTCCCTGTGATGGACAGGCCACTTGTCCAGGTGTCCCCCACCTCTCACGCAGACTGCTGGAGATAAGACAGCAGCTGCCAGAGACCCCGAGAGAAATTGAAGGTCCAGAATACAAATGGATCATGTCTGCCTCAACATAACCACAAACCAACAAGAACGTTTATGATGGATTTTGACTGTAGCAGCTGTCAGACAGCGCCACAAGGATGTAGTGGTCAAACATATATTACATCTGTAGTGGTTTAGCACTACCATAGGAAATGAATGGGAAACAGTTTAGGGTGTTTTTTCTGTAGCAGCAATAGTGGTTCAGTGGTAGGATTCCCGCCTGCCGTGAGAGGATTGGGTTCGTTTCTCGGCCATTTCAAGTTTCGAAGGTTTTTATTGTCGTTCACGTCACATGCGGTACTTTCCTTCCCTCCATTGATTACGGTGACATTATTTACATGAACGCTCCTACAAGAACCCTGCAGATGTTGGATGCTGTCTATCATGGTGCACTAAGATTCATAACTGCCTGTGATTATCGTACCCACCACTGCACCCTGTATTCACTGGTTAACTGGACATCATTAACTTCACCCAGACTCTCTCACTGGTACATTTTCATCTTTAAATCACTTCTTGGTCTGCTGCCTTCATACATCTCCTCCTACATGTCTCTGTGTGAGTGCAGCTACGGAGTGCGCTCTCAGGACATTATTACCTGCAGTGTTCCCTCAATGAGGACTGAACTTGGCAAAAGGGCCTTCTCCTACTCCGCTCCTGTTTCCTGGAATATCTTACAAAAAGATTTGAAGCTCTCGACCTCGACCTCTCTAAGTGTCTTTAAGAATCTGTTGGACACCTGGCAGGGACCAATGCAGACATGTTCCTGTTTTTAGTTTTTCTACATTTGTCTTGGAATCTAGCTGTTTTTTGTTTTGTTACCTTTTCCTTTTAGCCATCCTATTTGTTGTCTCTCTTGTAAATGAGTCCTCGAGGCTCAATGGGATTTACCTGTATAAATAAAGGTTGATTGACATGAGGTGGAACAAAACTACCGGTATGTACACAGGGTGCCAGTTACATCCAACAAAAATACAAATTGTAAAGAAAAGTTCAAATGCAACGACTTTTGAAGTTGTAGCATTTAATTCACAAATTGTTGAACAACACTTGGCAAGTATTCAACGTTGGTAAATGAGCAACCAGCTACTGAAGCGTTGTATATTTTGTGGGTTAGATTTCAACAACAGCTGTGGGGGGAAAAAAAAAAAAAGTTTGAACTCACTCCCCGTCGGGGAATTGAACCCCGGTCTCCCGCGTGACAGGCGGGGATACTCACCACTATACTAACGAGGAGCTGCTGTTGGAGACATGAAGCGTTGCTCTTGTTCTGATCGCACGTTGTTTTCAGACGTGGTACATAAATCCTAATCTTAACATCTGTAGCAGCCATATTGACTTAAACACAACATGCTGCCTGTGACATCACGTCTTCTGTGCATGAGGGTCTTCTCAGAACTGTGACTGGTTCATTTGGAGAACTCCTTCCAACTTATCTCCCTGACCATACCCAAATGGACAGAACCTATGATGGACATTATATATATATTTTCCTGCCACACCAGGGAACCCAGTATGGATGTGTGGGCTCCCTCTAAAACTGAACAGCACCACAAGAGTGTAGCGGTCAAACATATATTACGTCCTTGGTGGTTTAGTACTGCCATAGCAAATGATTTGTAAAAAATGTATGGAAAGTTATCTTGTAGCAGCATTGGTGGTTCAGTGGTAGAATTCTCGCCTGCCACGCGGGAGGCCCGGGTTCGATTCCCGGCCAATGCAGCAACATTTTTGCTTTTTGTTTTTTTATCTCACACACTGAAACAGGTGTTTGTAAAAGGTTAAATTAAAATCATTTTTTCTTCCTGTATCTTCTGTAACTTAGAAGAAATTAAAATAATAATGTAGTACAGGCTTTGTCCAGAAGATGGCGCCACACAAAAATGAGAAGGTATTTACTGATTTGCATTAGATTTTTTTATTCATTTTATTTTATTGTTTTTTTAAGGATAGTGAACATTCATTAACATTTTTGTATTACACAGGAATATAAACACACACATTTCATATAAAAACAATTCATAACACTCGTGCACTAAACAAATACAACGATCCGTAAAACAAAACATAAACACACTAAATAAACATGCCCACTTTTGATAAGTCTGTTGTTTAAGGTGTTATTTAAAATCGTTCAAGCACAAATGACCCTTCAGGGACAAACGGTGTAAAGGAAGTTGAAGCTGAATTACTGATGAGACATTGTACCTGATTCTATGACCTTCGTGTCAGGATTAACAACGAATGATAATTATTCTTGTTATTTTTAGCGGTTGGCGACGTTTGGAGGAGCGAGCGCTCAGAAGAAGCCTCTGCTTCTCAGACACCACGACGAGAGGGCGCTGCGTTTGAGAGACGCCACAGTGAGTTTTTATTATGAATATTTTATGCCGTTGTTACGATTATTACAGTCAGGATGAAAAGTAGAAACACCCTCCAACGTCTTACGATTAGTTTGATCCATGAATCCGTCAAATTTTATTCCAGTCTGTCAATTTTTTTCAGTCCACCTCTGCTTCCTGTCCATGTTTAAACTCACCTGTTTATTCTGCTCACCTGGGAATATCTCCCTGATTATGTTAAAATATTATAATCATTCCACATTGTTCTTTTTTTGACTGACTTTTTATAACTCTGTGTACGATGTGTCAACAATAAAGAAGCGTCTGTGTCTGCCCATCAGTCCAGGAAGGGTTATAAAGACATTTCCAAACTATTCGTTTAAATAGACCAAGATCCAAGATGGCTGCCGTCATGTATGTGTGTTAACTGGCCACCCCATCATTTGAAGAAACTATTCAATTCAGTTTATTTTTATAGCACCTAGTCACAATAGAAATCATCTCAGGTGACTGAACAGAAACATTCACATACATAAAAATCCAAGTGGTAAAAGTTATTAATCTAAGGAAGCAGCAGATTGTGTTGAATCTTCACTTTCTTCGCATCCTGAGCGAGCACAGTGGCAACAGTGGAAAGGAAAAACTCCCTTTTAACAGGAAGAAGCCTCCAGCAGAACCAGGCTCAGGACGAGCAGCCTTCTGCTTCAACCTGCTGGGGTTTGAGGACAGGAAGGAGAATCAAACGAACACAGGATGGCAGGTCCAGGTGTAGGTGCAGGTGTACCTCCTATAGGAGGAAAGACAAAAAATACTTTACAGATAAAAATAATTACAAACAGGTGGAGTAGAGTAAATAAAGACAGAAGCAGAGTGAGGAAAACGTGGTCCATTTGTCCTCCAGCAGTCTAAGCCTATAACAGCATTACTAAGGGATAGCTCAAGAAACCCAAGCCAACTCTAACTATAGGATTTATCAAAAATGAAAGTCTTAACCCAGTCTTCAAACTGGACAATGTGTCAGCCTCACAGACAGAAACTGGAAGTTGGTTCCACAAGAGAGGAGCCTGATAACTGAAAGATCTTCCTCCCATTCCGTTCTTGGAAACTCTAGGAATCACAAGTAAACCTGCACTGCAAAAACAGCACTACTTGAAATGAGCCAAATATTCGTAAAAGTGACCGAATTTTAAAACTAAAAAAAATCTGCCAATGGGTTAAACAAAGTTTGCTTGGCTCGAATCCTCAAAGCTAACAAATAGAATCTTAACTACCGTAATTTCAGGACTATAAGCTGCTACTTTTTTCACACGCTTTGAACAATATACAATGCTGTGGCTAACTTATGGACTTTTTTTGATGGGATAACGAGCTTCATTCCACCAAAACATTTATCTTTGTCACACCCAGGCGCTCACATACAGTAGCTGCCCAGTGCACATCTGTCTTAGGGGGTACTGATCAATGACTTCCTGGTAGATACTGTATATTTATTTATCAGCAGTGTTACAGTAACTGTTCAGAAAAAGTAAATAAAACTCTTTCTGTGTAAATATCTCATGTTACAACATGAACACCTGAGACTTATAGACAAGTGTGGCCTATTTATGTAAAATTTATATTTTCTTTTTATATTTAGCGGGCACGGCTTATTTTCAGGTGCGCTCAGTCCAGAAATCACCGTACTTTTTGCCTTTAAACTCAACTAAATTGTCCAAAATTAAGGAAAATTGCACTTACTACACATAAAGATTGCTTTCCTTAAGCAATATTTTCTTAAAAACATTGCTACCCACCCTTGATTAATCTGATTTTAAGATGGTTTTTTTTATGGTTAATTTTAAGAAAATTTGACCTATAACAAGGAAAGAGATTGAGAATTATGCACACTTGAACAAGCTGATTTAAAAAAATTTTTGCTTATTTTAGATATGTTTTCTTAAAATGAGCATCATTTTTTTATGCAACACTTGCTTGTTAAGTTTTTTTTGTTAAATTTTTAGACCAAAAATAAGAAAAAATTATGATAAACAAGTTTTTTTTTTAACTTTGTTAAAGGTCTGAGAGTGAAGTGCTCTGTTAGGCACGTGTGGAACAATAAGATCTGTAATGTTTTGTAGTTTTTATATTGAATAAAAATAATATTAATATAGTTTCCTCAAATGACTGGGGTGGACAAAGATTAATCTATGGCAGCCTTGGCCACCATTGGCCACCCCCTGGCTCCGCCATTGTTCCTGGTGGGTAAAATTGCTCCCTCCACTCCAAAATAAAAACAAATTTTTTTTTTTTTTTTCTTGTACAGTGTAACTCCTGCCCACGTTACATCAAAACATTAAGGTTTACCTGCACCCCCTGTTCTGTTCTGTTCCAGTCCAGAAGAACACTTAGCTCAAAAACTACAAACATTCACTCTTTAAGTCCACCAGTGATGATCACATGATCAGATCTGGTGTAGACCTTGTTGGTCCAGGCCACGTGAGCCAGCACGGCGTCAGTTGGCTACACCGGGGTTTGATCCCTCGACCCTTCTGTCTCAGAGCCGTGTGACAGAACCACTGCGCTCAGCTCCCAGCTACACGGTCTGGACTTGATCGTTTAACATGTGCGCGCTCACGCTCAAATCTTTTGTAGGCGCTTGATGGTTTCAGTCCAGCAGAGGTGGAGCTGTCCATGATGAGGTTCTCGCCGGTTTGGGAGCTCATCGAGTCGATGGCGGAGCGGAGGAACAGGCCCTCCTGCTGGAAGGCCGTCAAACAGCAGCTGCAACACTTTTGCACAGAAGGTCAGAAAGTCCCTCCACCTCTGGAAAACACATCGTATCCGCCCTCGACCATTCAACTCCCAACGGTAAAGATGTGGTTTTGTTGTTGGTGAAGAGTTCAAATGTCCCACAGAGACGGTGTCGTGGTCGGACGTGGAGCGCCTGTTCGATCAGAGCGTGTTTGAGGCCATGACGCTGAGCGCTCTGGATGAGCAGGGCGTGTTTGTGAATGACGCCGACCATCAAGGGCCACTGGAAGCAGCACGGTGCACACTGAACGTTGTCCCCTGGGACGATCCTTTATCCTACGCTGAACATCAGCTTCACAAGGCCAAAGGTGTGCGAGCTCGCTGGTTCAATCTGTTCCACCAGTGTCTCCGTCCAGCTCACTAACCACTGATCTGTCTCTGAAGGTCCAGCGTTTCTCACCGAAGACCCCGGCAGCACTGAGGTACTGGCTGAATCTTACTGTACCTGCTCATACTTTGTGTTACTGAACAAAAACACATTATTAACAGAGTGAATACTTACGGAACATTCATACTGGATCCATTTTTCTTCTGTACGTTTTTCAGCATCTTTCTCGTTCCACAATTTTTGTTCTAGTTCAACAAATCATATCAAAACGTTCAGCTCTTCCAGGACAATCCAGTTATGACTTTTGGTATTGGTGCAACTTTAGCTTTTTGAAATATTTAGCCATTTCTGCCACTTTTTTCCTCATAGAAAATGAATTGAGCTAATTTTCCATCCTTCAAATCTTTAGCTCTGTTTACAACTGCTCCTTTCACATTTTGTTCTGCTTCAGCTTCTTTCAGATTTCTTGTGCAAATTTAAACAAATTTTCAGCTACTTTCTGCTGATTTCAGCTGTTTTGTGATCCTTTTAGATGCGTTCTGCTAACTACGTTTTTGTGCTTCTTCTAACTTCTTTCTGCTAATTTCAGCTTGTTATGTTCTTTTCAGTTTGCTTATGCAAGTTTCAGCCTTTCCTGCTATTTCAGCTACTATTTAGCTGTTTTATGCTAATTTTAGACTTTTTTTGGCTACTTCTACATTTTTTGCACCCATTTCAACTTTTTCCAGCCTAATTCAGCAAAAACGTGCTCTCCACTTTCTTCTGGTAATTTAAGCTTCTTTCTGCCTTTTAGCTACTTTTCAGCTGTTTTTTGTTTCTTTTTGCAAATGTCAGCTTTTTTCAGATAATTTCCACTTTTTTTGTGCTTATTTCTGCTTCTTTTCGCCAGATTGGGCAAACGTGTTCTTTCTGCTTGCCTTTGCTAATTCAAGCTTGTTCTACCTTTTCAGCTACCTTTTTAGCATTTTCCAGCTATTTTCAGATAAATTCACATTTTTCTTGGTCATTTCTGCTACTTTCAGCCTAGTTAACTTCTTTATGCTAATTTAAGCTTGTTATGCTCCTTTCAGCTTAATTATGCTAGTTTCAGCTATTTCTACTATTTCAGCTACTATTTAGCTGTTTTTATGCCAATTTTAGCTTTTTCAGCTAATTCCAAAATTTTTAGTGCATTTCAGCTCTTTCTCCTTCCGTCAGGTAGTTTAAGGTTCTTTCTGCCTTTCAGCTGCTTTTCAGCCATTTTTGGGGGGCAAATTTCAGCATTTTCCAGCTACTTTCCTAATTTTTCTACTGATTTCTGAATATTTAAACAAATTTTAGCAAATACATATTCTTTCTGCTAATTTAGGCTTGTTCTTCCATTTCGGCTCCATTTCAGCATGCTTTTAAAAAAATCTATTTTCAGCTGCTTTTCAGCAGGTTCTTCTGCAATAAGCATTCACACTGCATTTTTGCAGGAAATACAATTTCTCTAGTTTCAGCGTGTTATGGTCCTTTCAGCTTATTTCTGCTAGTTTCAGCTTTTTCTCCTGTTTCAGCTATTATTTATCTGTTTTATGCTAATTTGAGCTTTTTCAGCTAATTCCATTTTTGTTGCACTCATTTCAACTTTTTTCAGCCTAATTCAGTAAAAAATGTGCTCTCTCCACTTCTGGTAATTTAAGCTTCTTTCTGCCTTTTTAGCTACTTTTCAGCTGGTTTTATGCTAATTTCAGATTTTTTCATATAATTTCCACTTTTTTGTGCTCATTTCTGCTTCTTTCAGACTAACTGGGCAAAGTGTTTTTTCTGCTTTCGTCTGCTAATTTAAGCTCGTTCTACCCTTTCAGCTCGCTTTTTAGAATATTTTAGCTAATTTCATCTGTTTTCATATAAACTCCAAAGTTTTTCATGGTAATTTATGCCACTTTCAACTTAAATTATTTCTGCTAATTTCAACTTGTTATGCTCCTTTCAGCATGTTTTTTCTAGTTTCAGTCATTTCAGCTACTATTTAGCTGTTTTATTCTAATTTTAGCTTTTTCAGCTAATTCCACATTTTTTGCACTCATTTCAGCTTTTGTTTTCTTTCTGCTTTCTCCTGCTGATTTACACTTGTTCTACATTTCAGCTATGTTGCAGCATGTTTATTTTTAGCTAATTTCAGCTGTTTTTCAGCAAGTTCTTCTGCAATAAGCATTCACATGGCATTTTCGCAGGAAATGCAGTTTCTCTTGTTGTGATTGTCTTGAGCATTAATGTTGCCTGTTTGTGTTTGTTTTCCATCAGTTCATTCAGGAAGTTAGCACCCAGCTGGATCTCTCTGAGTTGCAGCGCTGCAGACGGAGGTCTTTGTTTGGCTGGCACTACACTGAACGTCACAGCGCCGCTGTTTTCCCACAGGTCGACCTTTTTCACCGCTTCTCTCTTTAAGATATTAGGCCACAACTGTTCTTCAAATATCCCCCTCAACAAACTTTTACCAGCTGCTTCTGTTACAGCTGAGTCAGGGGTGTCTGATCCTGGTCCTCGAGGGCCACCGTCCTGCTTGTTCTCTGCTCCAACACCCCCGATTTGAATCAATGGGTAATTAACATGAGAACACCAAGAGGGAATTCAACCATTGAAGCAGGTGTGTTGGAGCAGAGAAACAAGTGAAACATACAGGATAGCCACTCTCAAGGGCCAGATTGGACACCCTCTGAGCTACCGTATTTCTCGGCATATAAGTCACAATTTTTTTTGCATAATTTACATGCCCTGCGACTTATAGGCCGAAATGACATATTTATGGATTTTCCCATATTTATAAACCAATTTTTGGCTGAAATACGATCGTTTTCATTCATTCAAACTGAAACTTTTTTGAACAGTACCATTTTCAGCCACTAAATGACAGCAGAGTAGTAGTAGCAGCAGTAAGGCATGCCGTTGTATCATGTAATAGGTAAACATGGCTATAATGACAAATTCAAAAAATTTCAAAACAAAAACAACTGGACTTTATTTATTATACTTTATACTTTATTGTTTTTGTCTTGAACTTTTTTGAATTCACCATGTCCTGAATGACTGAGAATCTTCACCCGCTATTAATGACACAATCGGCTTGCCATAGCCTGCCACCTTCGTTCTGCTCTCTGCTTGGAGCAACCGTCAAACCAGCTGCACCGCCTCGGCGAAATGCAGCTAATTTGACCATTAAAGTACATTTATTAAGTAAAAGTTCAACTGAGACACACCTTTACTATAAAGTCGAGCAAACACATAATTGTTTTTAGATGTTTATCATTACCTTTCCACAGAACCCCACTTCTAATCACCTGAAGTATCTCTTTAAGTCAGCTCATAAACGTAAACAAAAACACAATTTTTGCTTGTTCAGGGTGATTTTGGTTGTGTTCAGGTCCTGATGGCGGCGTCGGAGGAGTACCGCTGTTTGGACACCTTTAGAGGAAGCCATAAAAACATCTTGTATGTTTTTTGCCACAATCCCGTGAGTTCTCAGCTCCGGTCCAAGGAGTTCTGGGACGTGGCTCTTCACACTGACGTCAAGTTCAGGTCAGTATTTACACCTTTAACCCACGTGACTGGAAACAGTAACCTGTACACACCTTTTACTATAAACAAACGTTTACTCTGTTTTTCCTAGACACTACCTGGAGCATGTGGCCGACTCCATCTCAGACTGGACCAAAGAGGAGGAGCTGAAAAGAGAGGCGACGCTGCTCAGAACCCAGAGCCCTGTGGCTGCGTCTCCACACGGTGCTGCCTTGTAGCTCTCAACAGTCTTTAGCTTTTCAGTTTTACTGGACGTTTTAGTCCTACGCTCTCTTTGAGTCCGTTGCCTTAGATCCTTTCGTAGCTCGTAGTTTTGGAAACGTGAAGGTTCACGTAAAGCAAACGCAGCTAAACGCTTGTTTGATTGCTGACTCAGCGCGTTGTCGAGCCAAGTAGGATTTATTTGTGTTTCTAACTACCGTAGTTTTCCAAACAGACAATGAAATGATTTTTTTTGCCTCGTCATGAACGCGTTCTTTGTTTTGTTCTTTGTTTAGAAGCAGTGGAGGAGAGAACGCTGGAACCGATCATCAGAAAAGGCTCGATCAAAGTCTGTATCATTCAGCTCATTACACCAAACACACTCACTCATATTTATTATTACCTCCTGCCACGACAGATTAAGATTAAAAATAAATCTCCTATGTGCCACTTTTAGCCCTTTTCAAAGTTGTAAGTCCGTGTAAAGTGAGAACAAGCACATATCTCTTGCTGCCTTGTTCGCCGAAGTTTTAAACAAATATTTTGAGTGACCTGTTAGTGCTTGGAGTACGTGATGGGAATGATTCTCAGCTACTACCACGCTGAACTTTAGCTCAAAACTTGTAAAACTGACTGAGTTATAGACAATTTTGTGGCAGCCATCTTGAATTGTTTTGACTCCCAAGAGGTATTTATTTGTAGATGCACATCTATGTTCTAATAATAATAATAATAATTTCTGGTTCTTGAGATATTTTACTAACAGACAGCCACAGGCAATTACATTATCGCCCGCCTTTTATGGCTGCAGGAAATGAAGACCCCTCTTGACGATTATAAGAGGTTTATTCTGTCGTTTAATTTGTCGTGGAGATGAAAGACGACAGTTTACACTCAGTCAGGATTAAATGTTGAAAGATAAGTCTCTATGCACCTTTCAGTTTATTTCTGCAAGTTTCAGCTTGTTCTACTATTTCAGCTACTATATAGCTATTTTTATGCTAATTTAAGCTTTTTCAGCTAATTAAATTTTTTTTGCTCTCATTTCAACATTTTTCAGCCTCATTCAGCAGACATGCGTTTTCTCCACTTCTTGTAATTTCAGCTTCTTTCTGCCTTTTTAGCTACTTTTCAGCTGTTTTTGGCTAATTTCAACTTTTTTCATATAATTTCCACTTTTTTGTCATCATTTCTGATTCTTTCAGCAAACGTTTTCTTTCTGTTTTCTTCTGCTAATATAAGTTTCTTCTACCCTTTCAGCTTCATTTTTTAAGCATTTTAGCTAATTTAAGCTGTTTTCGGGTAAATTCCAAGTTTTTCATGGTAATTTCTGCTACTTTCAGCCTAATTAACTTCTTTCTGCTAATTTCAGCTTGTTATGATCCTTTCAGCTTTTTTTCTGCTATTTCAGGTACTATTTAGCTGAGTCTGTGCTAAATTTAGCTTTTTCAGCTAATTCCACATTTTTTAGCTTATTTCAGCTCCTTCCACTTATTTCAAGTAGTTTAAACGTCTTTCTACCTTTTCATCTGCTTTCAGCTTTTTTTTTTTTTTAGCTAATTTAAGCTTTTTTAGCTAATTTCCTAATTTTTTGTGCTAATTTCTGCTTATTTAAACCCAATTAAAAAAATGTGTTCTTTCTGCTTTCTTCTGCTAACTTAGGCTCGTTCTTCCATTTCAGCTACATTTCAGCATGTTTTTAGCTAATTTCAGATGATTTTCAGCAAGTTCTTCTGCAACAAGCATTCACACTGTATTTTCGCAGGAAATGCAGTTTCTCTAATTACAGTAATTTTAACTTGTTTTAAATGTATAAATACTCAGCAAACGTCATGATAACAGGAGTTTAAGGTTTAACCCTTTATGTTCTAAAAATACATTATCATGTTGCAGCATTTCAAATTCTGGAACTTAAGCACAGCTTCGTTATTTTCCTCCTTTGGTTTTTGGCGTTGATGTCGTTTCAGGCCTGGAAGTTGGAGCAGGAGCGAGCGAAGGAAGAGGAGATGACGAAAAGATCAAAGAAGGAGAACACACCTCGAGCCAAGCTGCAGAAAGAGGAGGCGGCAGACGAGAAGAAAAGTAAAACTTTGTCCGACGGCAAGAAGAGCAGAGCAGAAACAGCCACCAGCAAGGTCCCCGCGGGGGCCAAAATTCCAGCAGCCCCCACGGAGAGGAGCAGCGAAGGGCCTCGATTCGCAGAGGAACCTGAGAAAGTGAGGAGGCGCACATGAAACCAACAGTTGTATGAGTCACTGTTGGTCTGAAGGTGTGTGTGTGTGTGTTCAGAGATTCACCGGCTACAGCATGAACGGACGGCTGATCCGTGTGTCAGGCCGGGTCCAGAACCTTTACCCCTCAGACGGAGGACACATCACTGTGGAGAATATTGACTTTGTTGAAGGTACGGTTGCAAAAAACGACTAGACATCCATCCATTTTCTGGTGCTTATCAGAGGTCGGGTCTTGGAGGGGACTGCAGCTCCTCTCCAAGGCGTTCTCACCAAATCCCACTACAGTAGTCCCTCGTTTATCGTGGGGGATTCGTACCATGAAGCCCCGCGATAAGTGAAAAACCGCGAAGTAGGAATACACTAGTCCCAAGTTCAAGTACATTAAACTTTATATTAAGGTTTTAGAAACTCTTCTCACACTCTTGGAATGTTCTAAACTCTTAAACTTGAGTCATTTTAACAACAAATGTTACTAAATTGTACTTACTAGCTCTGCAGAACAGCAGTAGCTCTGGTTCAGGTCCAACTCTGTTCTATTCAGTTTGTTTCTGCAGCGATGAAGTCCACAATCAGTCCTCTAAACTCTTAAACCTACTAATTTTAACAACACACAGTACTTGTATGTAAATTAGCTACAAATTATTACTTACCAGGCTCTGCAGCACAGGAGCGGATCAGTTCCGGTCCGACTCAATAGATGAAAAAATTCCCGGTGCTGCATGACTGAAGCCCACCGCTCCATCCAGCTTGATGTGCACGTGCTGCTGCCCATGATTTAATCCAGAACCTCTGGCCCAGTCTGGACCAGCACAGCGCGGCCAGAACCTGAATGAACCCTGCAGCCGTCTGTCGTCTGCAGCTCCCAGGATCCGGGTCACACTGATTCTGGATCAGCTGCAGTTCAGCTGCTCAGCAGTGAAGATACAACTTGAAGGACGAGTTCACCTTCAGAATTATTTGAGACTTTCCTGAAGTCCCGTGAGCAACAGAACTTACAGAACTTCTGACTTTGCTGCAAAACATTCCTTCCATTTGCAGCAAGCAGCGGTTGAAAGAGCAGTGTTGACTTCCGGGAAGTGATGGCTTCTGGGTAATGTAGTTCTTTAGACTGGTAAAACAGTGAAGGCTTAATGAAAGAAAACTATAAAATGGCAGCACTTTTTAAATTTATTTAAAAAAAAATATTATGTACATGTACAGTACTTAAAAAAAAAAACTGCGATAGGGTTAGTCCGCGTTAAATGAACCGCTAAGTAGCGAGGGACTACTGTATAACGAGTTCTTTTCAGCATATTTTTGGCTCAGCTCCTTCTTCACTTTGACAGAACAGAAGAAAGCAGCCATAGCTGTGGACGACGCCTCGATCAGTGGACTCACGCACACGAAAATGTTAAATCATGTAATCTGGACAGTTCCTTTTTGGGAGAAACGTTTCGTCTTACATCCGAAAGACTTCATCAGCCTGAGGCCTGCCCACAAGATCTGTCTTATAAATATCGCCTCATTGATGTGTTTCAAGGCCAACCTGCTGCGGAATGACCAGAAACTGGCTTTACACGTGCAAAAACGAAGGGAGAAACTGAAAATATGTGCAATTTTTAATTTACAACAAAACGTGCAACAAACGAAAAACCTTTCCTTTTGTGAAGAACAACCCAACTAACAGTTTCTTTAGACTTTATGAGAAAGGAAACTAGATTATATATTAATCTCTGGTGAATATTTAAACCAGAGGTGTCTAATTCTACATCACTATCCTGCATGTTTGTTCTGCTCCAGCACTCCTGATTCAATGGTTCAGTTACCTGAAGCCTGTTAATCACCCATTGATGCAAGGCAGGTGTGTTGGAGCAGACAAACATCTAAAACCTGCAGGATAGTGGTCCTCGACGACCAGGACTGGACACCCCCGATTTAAACTATACTCAAATTATTGTTTTTTTCCAATTCTTTGATCTGCCCACTTTCACTCTAAATAAATTCTTGTTTGTACTTCAGGTTCCAGCCTGATGAAAGTAGCTGTGATAAAGGACGGCCATCGTTTCTACGCGCACATCAACCAAGTTGTTGGCGATTGTTCAGAGCCTCACAGCAAAACACACATCCATCCAAAGGAGGACTGTCGAAGTAAAGGTGCAATAAAGCAGCGCACCGGTGTAGCAGGCCAAAATGGCCCCTGTCCAGATTCAACTTGGTGCAGTTTGGCCCAGGCTGTCCTAGGCCAAAGTGTAAAATTGCCTCGGCCAGGTCATACCAGGTCATACCAGAACATACCAGAACATACCAGGTCATACCAGAACATACCAGAACATACCAGGTCATACCAGAACATACCCAGCTAACACGGCAGTCAGTCTCAAACAATGTCTCATTATTGTGTATCAGCGAGTTGTGAGTTAATGAGTCAGTTAATTGTCCCGTCGCTGAGCGTAAAGGGGGAATTGGAAATACCCTTTGTCTGTCCGTGCATGCTGTGAGCCTGATAACTTGAAAAATAATTCAAAAATACTTTATTAATCCCAAAGGGAAATTAAATGTTGTTGTAGCTCATCATCCTGGATTCAACGAAGAGTTGTTCTTGGCCACTGAGTTTTCTGGGGTGAGGAGGGTAATTCTTCCTCACCACTGATGTCATGAGGATATAATCTGGCCTGAGTACTAAATGGCTTAGGTCATAGTATACTTGGAGTATAATCTAACCTAGGCCACTTTAACCCCAGGTATAGTCAGGACTTGGGGTTCACTGGCTTGTTACACTGGTTTTCATAAATGTCCTTACCTGAGGTGTTTGGATCCAAACTTGTAAAGTTTTATACTTTTCAGAGAAAACACCGTATCCTCTAAATAACTGTGTCTGTTTTAGAGCCCGAGGCTGTGGTCGGGAAAAGAGTAAAGCAGGGCAACTTCTCAGCAGTTCTTGACAACAAAGTCCACCTCTCGTACAGTTTCTACGGCCCCACAGGAGAACGTAAAGGTGTCACACACGCAGTGTTCGGATTTAATCTGTGTTTATGCAGGTGTTTGTCTTGGATGAAGTCGTAAAGAGGCTAAATGTACGTATTGAGAATCTCGTCTCAGTTCATGTAAAAATGTGTTTTGAGACGTTCTAGTGAGTTCTGAGGAAACGGAAGAGGACAACCCAAAGTGTTCTTCCACCGCTGGCTCTAAAGAAACAAATCTGGAGCCTGATTCCTCCAGGAGACAAACCCAGTCCAGTCAGGTCAGACCTGAATACAAACAAATGGACACAGAAACCGACTTTATTTCTTTACACTACCCACCATCCTCTTTGTGTTTAAAGGGGTGTGAAGACCAGTCCGGTCCTTTCAGCAGTCTCTGCCTTTCTGTTCCTAACGGCCTACTGGTGCACTTTTTGAGGGAGGACATGGAAGGTCAGAGCGAGGAACTTATGGGTGTTTTTATTAAAATGCTGTCGTTTAGCACTGCAGTAAACGTATATAGCTCTTGTGTCCAGGTGTCTCACAACAGGAGCGAGGCGTTCTGGTGAAGCAGAGCTTTCCGCTCCACGCTAAAGGACGGCGGCTCCTTCAGGACGCATCCCTCTCCAAAGAGCTGTATCGCATCATCACCAGTCAGGGAGCCGTGATCCGGCACATGAGAGACGGATCCACAGAGGTGCGCACACACTAATGCTGAAATGAACTAAAGCAAGACTCGAGCGTGGCGTTCTGTTGACTCAACTAGAGATAGGGGCGGTTTGACTGTCAGGACGGAGGTGAGAATGTGGGTTTATCTCCAGGCTGAAAGCACAAATGTCCACAACTTTTCACTGATGCTACATTCAGCTGCTCATTGCTCTCAGTTTGTCCTTCCCAGCTTTTAAACTCAGTCTCCTGGACCACCTGGTGCTGATCAATCACATAACAGATTTCACAATGATCAATTCAATAAAGCGTAGAAATGTCCTAAAATGAACCCTGGGATTCAAACAAAGCATGCTTGGCAACTGTTTACAGCAGGGATGGGCAACATTTTGTTTCCAGAGGGTCAAATTGAGTTGTTTAAAGCAGTGGTTCCCAACCCTGGTCCTTGAGGAACACCGTAATGCATGTTGTTGTTGTTTCCCGCTCCAACACACCTGATTCAGTGATTTAATGACTTCCTCAAGTTCTGCAGAAGCCTGTTAATCACCTTTCATTCAAATCAGGTGTGTTGGAACAGGGAAACAACTAAAATATGCAGGATGGTGTTCCTCAAGGACCAGGGTTGGGAACCACTGATTTCAAGCAGTCAAAGGGCCTCAGAGTGAGTTGGAAAATACATTTTCTTTACAACGGGTCCCCTGGAAGACTTTACCGCCTTTTTCTTGTTATAGCATAGTTAGCACGCGCTCTTCAGTAACCTCTCAGAATGTAAGATGTAGTTTTTGTAAAGCAGCGCTTGTGACAACATATTTATTAGCTGACAAATAGTAAAAAATAAAAAAGTATATGTTTACTTTTTGGTGTCTTTAAGGTTCAGCTAGTCTCCTGAGTGGTGTTTCCTGGTACACAGATCTTAATGTGCATCTGCCTGTCCTGTAGGTGCTGTTTCCAGATGGGTCAGTGAGTTTCAGTCAAGATTCTGGTCCAGTCTGGGTGCCTGATGCTGAAATTGACAATACCAATAAAGGTTCGAGCTCAGAACCATCAAACCCAGACCAGTTTTTCCTCAAACTGTCCCCTGACCACGATGCTGTTCCTGTATCACGTCACTATTAAACGTTCTTCATGTGCAAACAGGTCAGACCTCTGAGCCTCAGAAGGGATGCTGGCAGACTACAAGTCCATCTGGACATCGCATTTGCACTGTTGGGTCCACACACAAACATCTCCCCACCACCTCTCTGCTCACCTTCAAAGCCACAGACCCCGTCACACATCAGGCAAGATCTACATCGTATCTATAAAACAACCTTTTCGAAATGTTCACATCTGTGAAATTATGGCCTCATGTTACGCTTGACTTGTTCTCACATGTTTTATCAGGTCATGCTAACCCGGGAGGATTTAGTGGTTTTAGTCCAGAACCCAGACGGATCTCTTATAGTGGAGCATGCAGACGGAACCAGGATCACCAGTTTCCTCCAAGACAGGACCTTTACAGGTTCACCACATCACCCTCTGCTCACAGGTAACCATTAAACACGCACAGCTCTTTGAACACTCGTCTCTTTCTGGGCCCTCGACACCGCTACGGATAGTTTTATAAATTATATTTATTTACTCCTTTCACAACGTTTTAACAGAAATACAGTAATACCCATGATGCACCAGTAGGTGGCGAGAGCACGCTCACGGAACACTTCGGACACATCTGCACGTCTTTCTCTGCTCACTTTCCCAGGACAGAAACCAGAAAGTGCTGGATCAAGCTCTCAGTTCACTCTGGGTGAGAGTGCAGGTTCTGAGAGGAGCGTGCACAGACACGATGAGCAGACTGCGTTTCCTGACGGTGCTAAGACGAATGAAAGGGGAGGTCCGTCGGTCAGCGAGCGGGCGGTGTTGGTGGAGAAAGAGGGCTGCGCCTCAGTACTGATGTACCCTGAACGTCACACGGCTCGCGTCTTCTTAGCCGACGGAACCGTCATCACAGGGAACAACCGAGCCGAGTATGAGGTGCGTTCTGCGCTGGTTTGATCAAAATAAAATGATTACACCAAAACATATGTATATGAACAGTAGAATCTCCCATGTTTAGGCTTGTATATGTTTGCATTAATGTTCCAGGTGTTTCCACCTAACGCTGGCGTTCTGCACATCCGAAGTAATGGAAAGTGCACGTACTCCTCTGACCCACTTGTTGCCCCCAACTCAAGTAACCAACCAGGAGTTTACACCATAAGTCACGCAGGTGAAGTGGCCTGTGACGTTACAGACGACGATGGGAACCACTTCCAGGTCTGTTGCTATGGTTACAAGGGATGTCAGGTTTAAGTCCCTGCCCATCAAACTGTCTAAATCTCTACAAAACCCCTCTTCTGGGAAAAAACGTCCAAATAACCAACATAATAACTGGAAATCACGAGTTTTTATTGTCTTATGTACAAAGATGACTGTCGGTGTTGCAGGTGATGGAAGATGGGCAAATATTTGTGCTACGTTCAAGTCCTGCTGCCAGCACTCGTACACACGACGAGGAAGAGGGGGAGGACAGGAAAAGGGACGGGATTCACATAAAAGACAAAGCTCACCCTCCCAGGTACTCGCCCAAACACCTGTGATGAGCCAGTTCACCCTTCACTGGAACTGGCTCAAGGTTCAGCTCCACATATTAAAACTGAACTACTTCCTGTTTATATTTTTATGTTTTTGTTTAAACTTTTGACCTAAATTTACTCTCCCAGAAAGAATTAAATGGCGTTCGATTATTCCTTTTTCTAATGAAAAAGAATTTTAAAACTTGAAAATCTGAATGTCAGTTGGGATAAAAAAAAAAAATCCATCCATCCCTTCATCCATCCATCCCTTCCTTTCATTCATCCATCCCTTCCTTTCATTCATCCATCCCTTCCTTTCATCCATCCATCCCTTCCTTTCATCCATCCATCCATCCATCCATCCATCCCTTCCTTTCATCCATCCATCTCTTCCTTTCATTCATCCATCCCTTCCTTTCATCCATCCATCCATCCCTTCATCATCCATCCATTCCTTTCATCCACCCATCATCCTTCCATCCATTCATCATCCATCCATCCCTTCATCATCCCTCTTTCATCCATCCATCCCATCCCTTCATGCATCCCATCCATCTATCCATCCTTTCATCCATCCATCCCTTCCTTTTTATCTATCCATCCCTTCCCTCTATTCCTTCCTTTCATCCATCCCTTCCATCTATCCATTCCTTGATTCTTCCATCTATCTTCCATCCATCATCCCTTCATCCATCCCATCATCCCATCTGTTTTCCTCTCTGACAGGTTACTGTATATATATTTTTACTCAAAGTTTAAAATAATCTTTCCTTCAGGCTCTTTCTGGTGCATGAAGACGGTTCGGGCACTGAACTGTTGAGCTCTCCTTCTGTAGAGGAGCTGCTTGACCGAGCTCACTCCGATCCCACCATAGCAGTTCTGAAGGAACCTCTTCCAGACAAACAAGGTGCACGTTAATATTTAAAACACTTTCAAAACATTGGATCATTCATTAATTAAGAATTATGTTTTTATGGCAACCAAATAAGCTTTATTTTTTCTGCAAAACATTCATTTTCTTGATAGTTTATGAAAAAAACACAAGAAAAAAATAACATGACCTTTGTGGGTGTTTGTTTCAGATGAATTTGGCATCACCATTCTAAAACCCAGCCACCGGAGTGCGTGGTTCCAGTGGTTGCTAAAGAAACAGAAACCTGACATCACCCCTCCCAACCTCAGAAACCGCAGCTGGGATGACTTTCCGACAGCCGAGGTACAAAAGCTAATAGTAGCCAACAGCTAAAAGTAGCAGAACAGTAGATAAAAACTAAAATTAGCAACAAATATAACTAAAGAAATTGATGTTTTTTTTGCAAAAATGTAATGCGAGTGCTGATTGAGTACTTAAATTAGCTGAAAAAGCTGAAACAGAGTTGTAGCTAAAAGCAGCAGGATGCTTACCAAAAGCTAAAGAGCAAAACTCTTGTTCAAAAACTAAAGGTAACAAAAGGCTAGCTAAATGTAGCAAAACAGTAGCTAAAATGCCAAAGTTGCAGAATAAAGCTGAAAATGGCAAAAGGCTAGCTGAAGATAACAAACGGTAGCTAAACTCTTAAATATTTTGAAAAGTATAAAAGTTATTAAAACAAACATCATAGTGCCCATCTCCCCAATCAGCTGAACTGATTGATAAATTAATGACTTAAATAAGCACAAATTTTGCAGAAGCGGTCAGAACGTAAACACAGAAAAATAAAAACAGGTAAATATCTTGTTTCTTCCTACTGAGGGCAGCATCAGACCTCAATCGTTTTGAGCTTCTCTTCGTTCCAGAAGAAGAGCCCAGGTCGTCCATTTGGTACTGACATGGGGGTCGGTTTGACTTTGAGGGAGAGGTCTTCTGGTTCTGCAGCTCAGCACCAACGTGTTCAGAGCTGCCCTGATGCTCTGGAGATGAGAGAACTCTACCAGCATCGACCCTTCACCACACCGCTCAAAAATACCATAGATTCACACCTGAAGGTAACGCTTCCTCATCACCAGTTGGGACGAAACATTTTTGGGAAAAATTCAAAGGTCTTGTTAGAAACAATTCAGCTTTAGTTACTTGGAATCACGACTTTCAAAAATGAAAGCGTTGAAACGTGTCTGCAGGAATACATCGAGAGTTTGATGGCGAGCAAACGACGATCGGACGAGATGAAAGTGAAAGACCCTCGCACCAAGCAGGAGAGCACTCACGCTGGAGACCTCTTCGATCTCATCCTGGTAGAAATAAACACAGTTCAACAAAACAAAGTGCAGAGTATAAAGTAGTTCACTAAAATGTAATACGACAGTTAGGTTGTTCTACAATAATCTTTTTCTACAGCATCAAAGTTTATGCTTAATAATCCAGGTAAAAAAATCCAAAGTTCAGTCAGGTCATCTGGATGGTTTCTTTGTTGTTGAGACGTTTCGTCCTTCATCCAAAGGACTTCATCAATCCGAGGAGCCTCAACAAACTGAGTCCCACAAGCAGCAACACCCACATAGTAGACCAACCAGTTTACTGGTGATGAGATGGTTTCTGGGGCCTGCCTTCTCCCCTGTCAACTCATCTGAGGCAGCCATAGCCAAAGTGGTTCAAAACATCAAAGTTCATGGACTGATGAAGCCCTTTGGATGAAGGACAAAACATCTCAACAAAAAATAAACCATCCAGATGACCTTACTGAACTTTGTTGGCTTTTCTGCAGCATTTCTGTCGTAACAGGCTGGTGCTGGTAAACCCAGTGGTGCAGGCAGTCAGTCGAGGAGTCAGGATGAATATTAGATAAAGAATTTATTGACAAAAACAAAAGGCTGTCAGGGCAGAAAAACTTACATATATTATCTTGGAGAACACAGGGAGCAGACCAGGACATCACCAGTGGACAGATAATGCCAGGACACAGGGAAGACAAATACACCAGCTTAAATACACAAAACACCAATTAGACAAAGTGAAGGCACCTGTGAACAATCACAGATGCCAAAGACAGAGACTGAGGATGCAAGACATAAACATGACACAAGATGGAGCCAGACACTAAGGAAACACAAACCCTACAATTTCCTGACTTCTATAAGTCTGCATATAGTTACAGCAATATGTAACACAGCATGAAAACATTAGTAATGCATTCTGAAGTCTTTTGCAGAGGAAGATGACGACCGTCACTCTGCTGATACCAAGCTGTCAGGTGAGTGGGGAAAACACTTTATATTGATTTAGAAACCTTTTTTAGATGTAAGTTTTGTAAACTTGACATCAAGAAGACAGCAATATTGGAGGTTTTACTTTAAATGTTTTGGGTAATACTTTTGTACCTGCAGCTGATGTTGCCAGTCTGTACAGCCAAGCAGTCGGGGCGTCGTACGAGCAGTCTGAAGTTTCAGACGACACCGACATGGATGCGGACAGTTTGGATGGATCGCAGCAGTATGTATGCTCATAAAAAACATAAATGAGTTGAAGTCAACATCCAAATCTTTCAACCTCCTATTTGTTTTTCAGTTCTTCTGACAGGAAGAGTCTGAAATGGAGTGAAAGACTTACTCAACACAGGTGCAAAGAATTACCCACCCAGGCTTGGACATGGGTTTGAGTTTACCTCTTGATTTAGCAGATTCATCCAGTTAAAAAGTCAGTTTTCATCAGATGCTACCTCCAGAGTTTGTGAGTTGATAAGGTGGTGTGGGATCAGTTTGGGAGTCCCATCCCACAGCAGTGCGTTACCAAGCTGCTCAGCAGCATAAGGAGGAAGTGCCAGTCTGATGTGGCTGTGTATGGTTCTTCCACATGCTACTGGGTCCCCTGCATGTTAAAAAAAAAGTTAAATTAATCAAAGTTCATGCTCAATAATCCAGGTATAAAATCCAACAATGTTCAGTCAGGTCATCTGGACAGTTTCTTTTTTTTGCTGAGATGTTTTGTCCTTCATCCAAAGGACTTCTTCAATCTGAGGAGCCACCAAACAAAACTGATTCCCACAACCAGCATACACTTCATATTGGGAAAAAACAGTTTGCTGGTGCTAAGATGGCCTCCGGGGCCCACCCTCTTCCCCATCAACTCCTCTGAGTCAATCGTAACAAAGTGGTTCAAAACACCAACGTTCATGCTCAATAATCCAGGTATAAATGACCTGACTGAACATTGTTGGATTTATACCCTATTGAGCATGAACGTTGGTATTTTGAACCACTTTGTTATGACTGACTCAGAGGAGTTGACGAGGGAGAGGGCAGGTCCCAGAGGCCATCTTAGCACCAGCAAACTGTTCATTTCCTCCATGGAGTGTATGCTGTTTGTGGAAATCAGTTTGTTTAGTGGCACCTCAGATTGAAGAAGTCCTTTGGATGAAGGACGAAACGTCTCGGCAAAAAAAAAGAAACCGTCCAGATAACCTGACTGAACATTGTTGAACAAGTTAAACTGCCAACGCATCTTGTTTTTATTTATTTATTTAACTATAATGGTCTATCTCATGCTGCTGTTTTCATTCATACCCATCTCATCACCACAGACTGATGTTCAGGCTGCTGTTGTTACGCCGTACTGTGTTACTTTATTATTGTTTAGCGCATATCTTAGATCCTTATACACTGTTTCTTTCTATCATTTATATTTTTGCAATTGTTGCGTGTAACTGGGACCCTGTGTACATAATTTGGTTCCACCTCATGTACCACATGTGATGCAAATGACAATAAACTTGACTTGAACTTGAACTAATTTGATAAAAGACACCAAATAAGAGTCAACGGTAGAATAAGATGCTTGGCAGAGAATGTTTGGTAAGTTTTTCACGAGCCTGAACTCTGCTGCTCAACCCACAAATACAAATCCTCATAAATGTGGCACCATTAAAGGAGAAATTAGCAACGGTATAAGATTTAATGCCAAGCCTTGTTACAACAGAGAAATAATCAACCACAAATGTCCTTATTCTTTGTGCTATATAAATGTATATGAAGTGTATTTGTATCATTAAAGTATTTATTTTTGTATGAATGTGTACTTTAGACTGGAGCTCAGTGAGGAGAAGACTTGCAGAGAGTCGCTGAGGAAGAAGATCGTTGTTCCTTATTTCCATCCAGAAAACTTTACCTTATTCCAAGTACTAAGTTTATTTTCATTTGTACATCGTGTACTCCATTGATGTTTGTGTTTTTAGATCAATGTCGGGCAGTTTTTTTTTTGTTTTTTTAATGTGGGGCAGAAAAAGATTATTCGCACGTGTTTCTCCAGAGTCTGCTGCATTCCCAAATATCCAACGTTGGAAGCCGACCTACAGATCTGCCCCAGTCAGACAGTCCGGACTCCGTCATTGAAGCCCCCCTACAAGAGAGCAGTAAGCTGTTAATGTGTCGCCATTTAATAGGAGCTACAAAACAAACTGTTTTTTTTTTACATCAAACTAAAACTATATATATATATATATATATATATATATATATATATATATATATATATATTGTACTGCGTATAATGACAATAAAGGCATTCTGATTCTTCTGATTCTGATATATAAGATTGACTCAATAAAACATATTTTATGTTTGTCGCTGCAGACCCACCACCCTTAAACCCAACTCCATCTGAGTCAGAAAGGTAACAACAAAACCGATGTTACAGATGTTTTTAACAGTTTCATTGGTGGTGGTGGTGGGGTGGTGTTTCTGTGTTTTTAGGTTTGTTTTTATGACACTTGTTCATTTTTGTTTCCAGGAGGGCAGAAAGAGACAAGATGCCTGAAAAAAGACCCACGAACCCCACAATGCAGTTTGATGGTTTGTTCCTCGTGTTAACCTCCTTTTGTATTCTTTAAGTCACGGTAATCTCATTAATAATAATAATGATATACCATTACAGTGATGGAAAACAATTGGCTACAGTAGTCCCTCACTACTTTGCGGTTCATTTATCGCAGACACTATCGCAGTTTTTCAAAATAAGACTGGACATGACACACAATTGGCTGATTGATGGATGAGCCGCACGATCGGCATGTAATTTTTATTTAAAATAAATTATTTAAAATTATTTAGCACCTGCTGCACATTTGTGCAGCCCTTACTGCAAGATAAGCTTCTTGCTGCAGCTGATCAGCTGAGCTCCATGCAGAGCGGAGAAGTGGGCGTGGCCAAGAGCGCTTGGAGGTGGCTGAGAGCAACCGAGGCAGAGAGCTAAAATCATGACATTCTGTGCTCTTTTAGAGCGTTTAGAGTTTAGAAACATTGTTTAGAATATTGCAAGAGTGTGTAAAGGATTTAAAACACCTATATATATATATATATATATATATATATATATATATATATATATATATATATATATATATATATACACTTTAATTTTGATTAAAAGCATAAGTTCATGAAACTAATATCCAATTTCTGCATTAAATGGTACAAAGAGATTTGGACTAAAAGCAGTTTTGCTGGGTTCATAAGAGTGTTAGAAATTATTGAAAATACTTAAAAGTTAATGTGAGATTAGCTAAAAGTTTTTAAAACTACAGTAGTCTCTCGCTACTTTGCAGTTCTTTTATCGTGGACTCGCACTTGCGGTTTTTCAAAGTAAGATTGGACATGACACACAACTGGCTGGTTGACGGATGAGCCACACGATGAGCATGGAATTTTTAAAAATATAAATCATTATTTATTAATTATTTTAATTATTTAGCACCTGCCTCGTGTGAAGTTCAGTCTGGATGTTATGCAGCTATAAACATGTTTTCTGTGATTTATTTCCAGGGCAAAGCAGCAGGTCAGTCCAGGTGGACGTCACTGGAAGTCCCACACAGACTAAAGTCAGACCAACCTGCGTCCTCAACTCCAAAACCTACAGCGAACCAGACCAACGAGTAAATCTGAGCACGCATTAAAAATCCTGAAATATCTGCATTTACCCCTCAAAGGAACGTGAACAAACTTACATAAGCACTTATGTCCATTAAGAGAATATTAAAGAGATAGTTTAAAGTTTTTGAAGTGGAATGCGAAAAGATTATGAATAAACAATATCTCACTTGTTATAGATAGCTCTTTGAATGACGTCAGTTTTAAGAAATGGAGTTTAATTTTAGCCAGATTGATGAGCTAATGGCTAGTCCAAGCAGGACTGAGACCAAAGTGGATTGCTGCCATCTTAAAACACCATCCATACATCCATACATCCATCCATTCATTTACCTGCATCTTCCTTTTTGGGTCTCGGGGGTCACTGGTGCCCATGTCCACTGTGCGAGAGGCGGGGTACACCCTGGACAGGTCTCCAGTCCATCACAGGGACACATGGAAACAAACAACCATTCACACTCTCACACACCTAGGGACAATTTAGAGTTACCAATCCGTCTAACATGCATGTTTTTGGTCTGTGGGAGGAAACCGGAGTACCCAGAGAAAACCCACGCATGCACGGAGAGAACATGCAAACTCCACCCAGAAAGGCCCCCCCAGCTGGGATTTGAACCGGTGACTTTTTTGCTGAGAGGCAACAGCTCTACTACCAACTGAACCACTGTGCCGCCCTTTACACAACTTCAATTAGAACATTTTTTTCCTTGGGTTCATGCTCACACTGTTGTAAATTGTAACCCCACCACCAGTTTAGCAAACTTCGGTGACTGTGGGAAGAATATTATGATCTTCCTACAGAAAGGGCCCCACCTGCACCAGAAGTGTTACAGCTAGCTGCTGCTTCCACTACTCACACAAAAAATAAAGATTTTTATTTAGATAAATGTGGAGATGTTTCAGGACAGCAGTGATCCACGTTAGCCTGGGCTACACTCAGACTAGCCTTTAGCTCATCGATGTGGTCAGATTTAAGACGCCTCAAAGAGCTATCTACAACAGGTGAAATGGTAATTGTTCATAATTTCTCCACAGAACCCCTAAATCAAAAGCTCTGAATTTGTGTAACAATAAATAAGAAATATCCTTGAATACCAGTTGATATACGAAGGTGTGCACGGTATAAATAAAAGTAATCACTGCAAAAATACAAATGCAGGCAGCAGCAGGAAGATCCTGTGATGTAATATTGACGCAGACTGATCTGTTTTTCCCGTCATAAACCAAATCCGTTTGTCACTAACACGTTTGTTTGCTGTGCCCCCTGTTCCAGTTCCTGACGGTGGAGGAGCCGGTGAAGAGGAAGTGTCGAACAGTTTCCCTCACTGGTTCAGTAGTGAGGGGCTTCCAGCTTCACCCGTCGAGCGTTGACTTCGGTACGCTGCAGGAGGGCACCTCGTCGACCATTACTGTGATTCTGAAGAACGTGGGTGTTGATATGTGCAGGTACAGCGTCGAACGGTTTCCACTGGAACATGTATACTGTAGTTTTCGGACTATAAGGCGCATTAAGCGAAACAAAACGGATAAGTCAAATTTTATTTAACTCATTCACAGTAACCACATAAAGTCGGTTCGAGGTCAGTAAGCACAACCAGAATTAATACATAAGGCACACCAGATTATAAGGCTCACTGTCAAGTTTTAATAATAATAATTATTATTATAATGCATTTAATTTGTTTAGCCATTTTGAGAAAATTAAAGGATTTTAAGTGTGTCTTATAGTCCGAAAAATATGGTATTTTATATTTCATTGCATTGGCTGTAGGGATGCACGGATCCACTTCCGATCCCGATACTTGAATCTAAATATCGTCCGATACCGATCCAGTTCCGATATCATGATCATCATTGATTTTATATGAGGCTGTAATAATCTCCTCTCAAGTACAATTTGTACAAATATATGCATGCATGTCCAAAAAGGCAACTTGAGGTAAGTTTTATTAATGTTGGATAAGTTTTAAAGTTAGAATTCAATTCTGCTAACACAAAACATGTTTTGTTTTGTTTTATTCCTAGTTTTAACGTGGATATTAAAGTGATTAAGTGATTGTTTAAAGTTATTTTATTTTATTTTTTAATTAAGGGTCAGATATAAGATTTTTCTTCTTTCTGCACTCTTTTCATTCAATGTTTTTTTTTTTTTTTTGAGTAATTTGTTTTGTTTCTTTTAAATGAATGAATAAATGAATAAAATAAAATGTTAAATGGCTTCAAACATCTGCTAAGTTCATGACATAAACCAACAGACATGTTCCTGTTTTTAGTATTTTACATCACTTTATAATGTAGCTGTTTTTGT